CAACTTAGCCATGTTTGTCGGCCCCATAGTCCACTTCAAATAGTTTAAAGTGACTAACTCCAGTTTCATTTGATGTGAATTTTCTCTAGCTTACTATTGAGCCATGTTTAATTACTTTAGTGAAATATTTATTAAGTTATCGCTTCCTATTTAGCAAAAAATGTGACTCGCTTAAATAACAAATCTTAAATTTCCTACTTTTTTGCTTGAAATTGTTTTATGTCCTTTTTTAGTAGATCTTGAGGTCTATTATGAATCTTTTAAATATTTCTCTCTTCTTACGGGATACCCTTTATTATGTATCCAATGTACTTGGGTCTAAATTGTTCTAAACATATATTGCTTTGTAAAATGTAATTTTATATAAATATAAATAAATATTATATAATACAATATTAATATAAATAAAATAAACTTCAATTAATTTTAAATAAAAACAAATTTACAACTAAGGAAAATTGGCGAAACTTTAAAAACTCTATTTAACTCTTTGTGTTTTGTTCTCATACCAAATAAACTGCTACTACATATATTGTTAACAGATAAAATTTTCATGAATGAGAAAAACAGATCCAATTTTATGGTTGATTTTATTTGGAATATATAATAAGATTTTTTAAAGACAAAAACAGAGTAATATATTCATCTCATAGAAGGCTATATAATAGCTATTAATGGATCGTATAGTATAAGATAAGCGCTGAGATATCCTTTATATATACACTATTAGAGTTACAAATAGCACACTAATTTGAAATTCTAGTATTTATTCGTACCCGAAAGGCTCTTTGACGCAATAAAGCAATTACAGGTAAGCCGCTTGGGTTTGCTTCGGAAGTTTGGTAATCTCGAGCACGTTGACGTAATTGGTCTTACAGCGCCCACTGAGTGACGTCAGGTACAGAATTCTCAGAAGGCAAATATCTCAATAGTGATGAGTTTGGGGGTGGGCCGATCTGTGACATCATAAATTCTTATAAATTTATCAACATTTATTTTGGTCATGCGAAATTATTCTGTCGAGTATAGACCTTCTGCATTTGTAACACAGTAAATTCACTTAGAATCTACCAGAAAGACAAGCCTATAACCTTTTAGAGTGGATGTGCCCAAGAGAATCTTTACTTCGATCTAAGGCTGATTAAACAGAATAAATAAATCTTCCATAGCTAGAATTGATAATATTCACATATAATAATAGAAAAAAAGTAACCTTTAAATCCTACTTGTTCAATCACTTCCTATTCATTTAATCCAATGGTTGAAACTTTGATGGAACTTTTTCAAAAAAGTTTCACTTTAACAGTTTTAAGGAAAAAAAGTTCCCTCAAAATAAGAAATAAACAGTAGTTGGGCTTAGATTCTTACGTGTCGTTTGTCTGATTACTTAAAAATAAAATCATTTTTAGATTGACTTTTTAGTAAAATTTATAGAACTTTTAAATAAAAGTTGTGTAAAACCTTGATTGGTAAAGTTGCGAGAGAAAAATTTCTAGTTCCTACTTTACTGAAAAACTACTAAAAGTACTGAAACCTAAGTACTGAAAAACTATCGACAATTAAAGTTCCAGTGATGCCGAAACTTTTTAAAAATAAAAGTTTCTTTTTTCCGTTTCAAGCACTGATTTAAACCCTAAAAAAGTTTTAATTGGTAATTCTGTAAATATGTATATAAATTATTAGTTTGTTTTTAATTATTTTTTCTTAATAGATCAAAGTTAGAAGGTAGTCTATAATTTATATTTTTAATTCTTTTTTGTATACTTCTAAAGCCAACAATGCTGCTAGAGTATTTTATTTTAAAGGGAGTTTGTCCAAAATAAATATTTTATTAAAATCCTGAATGGTCGTTTTCTACTAATTTGAATACCTAGTTATAGAAGAGGAATAAATGATACACCATATATAATACCAATAGTTTTACTATGGTTTTTCCACTACTTAATTTACCAACTTATTTATTTAAAATATATTAAATTCTAGTGAAAATAAAAATTTCAACTTTAATGAATTCAAGTTTTCGTTTTAATACCTCTATATCTCAGGCATTATCAGCCATGATGGACTGAGTTTTGTGGGTTTCTTATTATTTTTTTTTATGGAAATTTTAATCGATTATCATACATCATACTAAAATAATGGAAGTAAATTGACTTACCTTATCGTTTCTTCTTATAAATTTATACTGTCCACTCTATTCTACTATGTTAACATTTATTCTTAATGATTTGCACTTTTTATTTATTATTGAGACTGCTTTATACTTTATATTTGGGTAATTGGCACAGATCACCTGTCTCATTCCTTAATAGTCGTTCGGTGATACGAATTAACTAAAAATAAATTTTGTTCACAGTTCTTGACATTTTTTTTTTTTTTTTTTTACAGCCTTTCTAATACATAGACTAAATTTTACTTAGAAATATTAGATGCATATATTTCTATATATTATCTTAGATGCATTAGATTTATTAAAACAAACAATTTATAGTTAGAAAATAATTAATATTATAGTTGGTATAATAACTGTGGGATGCTAATTACTTGAAATCAATGAATTTTTATAAACTACAACTTATATCAGCTTTAATTATTGTTACTCAACAGAATCGTCAAAACTTAATTTTAAGTTTGGTAATAACATATTTAGGGTAATTGAAGGAAGTTAGTAGACTGTTTTACATATCATGGGTGATAAGTATTTAGGACGCAGTCAATATAAGGTTATTAGCGCCGATGCCCTCTCTCCGTTTCCACTGGACTCCAATGCCGGTGACGCGGCTGAGAGAGAAGCGCTGGGATCTCTTAGAGTCTCGCTTTGTCCTTCACACGTGGAGGAAAGGGCTACTCGGAACTCCCTTGGCTGATTGTAAATATTGTAATTAAGTATGATTTTTTTAATCTATTTATTTGTTTTACTTATGATTTATTTAAGTTGCTAAGAATTTATGTATTTTTTATTTCAAGTTACATTTCTTTGGTTTTATAGTTTTTGCCTTTGTTATATAGATATATATTTTAACTTTTATTTTATCGCATATACAGTATGAATATGCCTCACTCAGCTTTAGTACTCAGTACCCTTAAGTGTGGCAAAATGTATTATTTCTCAATAAATAGGTCTAAAAAAAAAATAATTAGTGCCAACTTTTTTTAGTCCGAATAAGAACAACTGGGAAATCCTTCCCTGACCCCTCACACTTACCTACCAAATGTGTTATTATTTGAATATCTTCAGTGCTCAAACCACGGTTAGTAAGAGAAAATATTACAATTTTTATAAATGAATTATATACATTATTTTTAGTTTGTATAACATTCAACATATTTCATTTGTAATATTAGATTCATGTACCATCAATCACTATATTTTTTCATTATTAACCATTATTATCCCATAATATTATATCTTTGATTCTATTTAAAAAAAAAATGTTCAGCCCTGATGATGAGCCACATGTTTGCGTTGAAACGTCGGCACTAATAATATATTTAGGGTAAGTGTACCAGTAATAGACAGTTTTCAACTCACTAACATGTAATAAGCTTTATTCGTCCAAAAGAGAACGAAAATACGACTAGATTTGAAGCTAGAACTCTTAGCAAGATGAATGATGCCTTAACCTAAAGTGATATCATGCCACAGTAGCCCATTGGTTGATTTTTCAATGGAGCAGGGCTGGTTGTTTCTTTCATATAGATTTTCTTATCAGTTTTCTTCAGGAGGTAGGTTTTAAATTGTGATTTAATCATCTGTAGTTTGCCATTTCCTTGTGGAGAATTTATTTTGGGGTTTTTAATTATATAAATAAGTATATCGACCTCAAAACCTGAGTGTCTATCACTGCTACAAAATACGGTGCCAGATATTCCTAATTAATTGACTGTATACAAAAATATAAATTGGTAAAGGACTAAATTTGCTGTAAATGAAACCTATTTGTAAAGATCCACCGTCAGAACTTAAGTTGTAATACACATTAATGTTGAAAAATTCTCTTCAAGTGTCTATTACCGGTACATTTACCCTCCAACTTAGACTTAAAATATTTCCAAAATAACAAATGATATGATTTTTGTGCATGCGATGATTCCTAAAAAAAAATTATAGTAAATATCCTGCAGGAAGACGTTTTATGTTTAAAATATACCTTCATTACTTACCATTATTAAGGCCGATCTGAGAAAAATTATTTTTCGATGATGGGTTAAAGTATAATTATAAATCTGTTTGAATACTTAATACCTATTTTATTTTCTTCTATTCTCAGTATTTATTTTAATATGTAAAACATTGTTTGAAATCCAAAATATAAAATATGTTCTGATGTAGTATCTTTTTTATTTTGTCTATAAATCATATTAATAAAATAAATGCGTCTTCTGTTTATTTGCAAACAAAAAGTCACAAAGTGAATTTTCGATGTAGAATAAGTTTCAAGTATGTTTTTGAGAATTTCGAGCTTGAAATCGAAATAATCTTAAAAAATGAAGACAAACCTGTTTATTTATCATATATGGGTATACTAAGTGCACAATTTTCTGATTTCAAAGAGAAAAAACTCATCTAAGTACATAGTGATACGTAAAGTTACTGAGTGACTTTTTCCAATAAACCCACAATATATTTGCTTAACGTTTTTTTTTCAAATACTCAAAATTTGATACATTTATTTTTTAGTACTAACATTGATCAAACTGTGAATTATTAGATATATGAATCACTATGTGGAATTTCAACAGATAATAAAATATTTTTAATTTTTTTTTTTTACAATTCTCACTATCTATGTGCAAGAAAGATAGCAATCATCTTGAGTTGAATCAGCATCGAGCTCCATTCTGAGTGGATCACAAGACTATAGCTCCTAAAGGGTTTTTAAATCTTTTTTATTTCTCTGACTTACCTTATTGGCATTCTTCCTGTTTTGATTTTTTTGTTTTTTTATACAAATATTTAATATATAATACAGTGGTTTTCTATACGGTATTCGTTAACTTTAAATAGAATCAGTAAAAACAACAGGGGTAAATAAACACACTCATTTAACTTTTATTATATACACATTCCCGTTTATTTTATTTATTACATTTCTTTTTTTTCGGCCATAAAGTGTTCATATATATATAATACATATATATAACATATATGTATATATACTTATATATATATACATATATATATCAAACATTTTTGTTTGCCAAAGCATTGTATAAAACATATTTTTAATTATACAACAGGGCTTTTCACAATTGAGCTGGCCTTGGGAAAATAAAAACATTTATTTTAAAATATTCTCTTTGGCTCGAAGGCTACTACTCATCAATCCAGCTCTTTCCCAAAGCCGCTTTACACAGGGTCGCAATGACAATTTGAATTTACACAAAAGAGCCCTTCTGTCCTGGCAATATTCTAACGAAGGGTCAGGACTGGGTTAAGGAGGGGTACCAATTTGTGCATGTTTTCAACTATACGTGCGCTCTCTACAGTACGGTCCAACTAAGTTTTTCTTTTTTTTTGTTTTACTTTTTTTTTTGTTTCTTTATAATTAAACATCATTATTATTATGCCACCATTGTTTTAAAACTCTAACAAGATCCTCTCTCTGTCTACCTGGCAGTGCACTCTGGTAAATCGACAAACGTAAACAAAACTCACCGGCCAAAACGACAGCTAAACGATATTTACAGCTACTTTCTGTTCCGAAATTTATCAACCTGCCTTGAAAACGCCCCGTTTATATATTTATATATATATTTATTATATATAATTTTTGCTTCCATATAAAATATCCCTACTGATAGCAAATAATTGTTACTTTTAAACATGTAGTTTTTTTTTTTTCTGTGAAAAAGATGTCCCCAGCGGAGAGATGCTCCCTCCACAAGGTAACAAATCCCCCCCAAGTTAGCACGCTGATTATGTACAAAAAGAACCTGGCTCTACAATTGACAGGCCTCAGGCCTCTAGGGATACTGACCACACCACCTCCCCTGCCTACAAAATAAATACTAAAAAATTAATCTACTATCCCACCCTTCTAAGGCCGGGAAGGCGGCGGCAATGTGAGTATCCCTGCGCAAATTTAAAAATGTCCTATCTGCACTGTATTTTAATTTTTAATTATATACTCGCTCCTAACACTAGTTTTCACTTTTCTGTTCATTTTATATATATATATTTTATTTATATATTTATATATATATATATACTCTTATATTAACACTACATATATCTAAAACTACAAAACACTATTTACCATCTGCGACTCTACAATTTTTATTGATCTATTTCGATCTTTGGATATCACCTTGTTAATTTTTTTTTGTTTTTGTTTTTTGTCAATATAAATGAATGAGACATTCATATATTTACATACATCCACTTACAATAAAATATACACCCCAGCTTTTACAGATCTGCATAAAGAAATAAGCCTGTACTTGCTTTATACAAAGATATATGAGTCACGCACACAGCATTGGTTAAAATTTTCGGAGCCTTTGCCAGGGCTGAGGGACGAGGGAAGGGACTTTATACAAACGGAAAGGATTGTGGGAGAGTGCCCAACGACTCACAGATTTTCCCATCCATTTTTGACTTTTTTTTTTTGTTTAAAAATATTTTTCATACCAAATATATTCCCTAAAATACAGATACAGAATACTCAAAAATGTACTCCCATAAAACAGACACACATATAATACTGATTTTTTTGTTTGTTTTTTTTGTTGTTTTTATTTAAATAAAATTATATCATTGATACAGTTAAGATCGTGGTTGGGCTGAGCTATATGATTTTCCTCTTTTCCTGTCCCCAACAAAAGTCTTTTTTTCCAGGCAAAAAACAGAGAAAACATTAGCTGAGTATATCTTTCAATGAGGGCGGGACCAGAGGTTCGATGATAGGGTGTTGGATTACAGACCACGCTCGACAGGGAAATAAAAAAAAGAACAGGCTCAAGAAAGTGAAGTCAGTGGTGGATGCGGGCAGGTGTTGCAGCTCTACCATCAGACGAGGAGGCTTGGTGCAAGCCACTCTTCATCGGCCATCTGCGGGCAGGAACAATATCAACACACCGCCATCTGTGGACCGGCAGTCCTGCTAGCGCTACCCTGCGCACAGGTCTGTCGGTCCCTAGCAGCTTATAATAAGTGAGCGGTTTGGGTGACTAATGTCTAAGTGGGGAGCTAGCCTGCATTCTGTGCTCAGTGACACCCTTCACAAGGGAGACAACACCAAAACTAAATATTTTATCAACTTTTTTTTTTTTTAATTTCTCCCTCTGTAAAAGGAGAGTGAACACAACACAAAAAATACAAATAAAGAAAAATAAAAAGAATAAATCATGAACATGAATGAAGAGAGAAAAAAAAATGAAATAATGTAAAACTGTTCTTTATTTCCCTGTCTGTGCAAGGTATGGCAAGGAAGGGACATGCAGGGTGGTGCGTGGTCACTTCAACATAAGCAAAATGCATCATGCTTGGGTCAAGCCAATACAGTCCGAGGGGTGTATATATATATTGTAACGATAACTGGCCAAGCTAAGCAGGAGTTGGTCAGTGGGCTCTCTCTCCTGTCTGTGGTCAGCCTAACATCGCCCGCGACAAATGATATGACTAAAATCTCAGGGCCCTAGTCAAGTCCCAGGTTTAAAACATTGAAATTACATTAATAAAAAATTTAATTAAGATTTTATTTTATAAAATCCCAACGAAATGGCGATGTGCTGACTGACCACAGATAATATCCTTATAACAATGATTACATATAACCTTAATTGGAGTCATGGTATAATCATGTGACTTGTATAATAAATAATAATTTTGTATATTTAAACCTAACAATGGATTAATAATTTACAATAATGTGATTTGGTAATATCATCTAAACTATACTTTTATAAAACAACATCTGTACTAAAGTACAGAAACAGCGTGTAATTATTTTCTTCATATTAATTTTCTGTCAATTTTTTTTTGGCATATCGTTTTTCAAATCACACCAACAATCTTTAAAATAATATTTTTTTGTCAATTACAGTCGCCAAGTTGATGGCCAAATTTCTATTTCTATTACAACCGGAATGATACATGAGTATCCGATTGTAGAAATTTTTTTTTGTAATTTTTAATTTTTTTTTTTATATTTGATTTTGTCTCCCTATGACTGAGGACTTATGATGGGCCTGATACCCGGGGCAAGACAGCCGACTGACCAAGACGACGGAGGAGCCTAGGTGGTTACCTGGAACTGCTGCATGGCCGGGTATGCTGCCATCATGCCCGCTGGAGTCGGCTGCTGGAGTGCGGCTGCTGAAGCAATCTGCTGGGCCGGCAGCTGGGGCTGGGTCCAAGCCGCGCCTGGCAGTTGCATTCCCATCCGGCTGCAACACACAAATTGATACATATCATTATCACCCTCTATCAAAGGATCATAGCAATATAAATAAAAATAAATAAATGTTTTATTATTTAACCTCAATATTTTTCATTGGGCACTGGTTTGAGTTAGAACAGAAGCAGCTGAAAAGAGCTATCTGGTGGGATATACAAAAACAATGAGGGATTAGGAATGCTAGAAAGGAGCATTATTGGTCCCTAAAAAGGAGCATCCACCAATATTTTCCCTAAAAATCTGATTACTCACTTACAATCAATTAAATCAATTACCTACCAATCATCAATCAATCCATCAATCATCAAAGGAGCAGGGTGGTCTAGCGGGCTAACTCGCAGAGATTACAAGTTCGAAAACAAAATAAATGTTTGCTCAATTTATTGATAAAATAGCAATATTTTGAATAGGATGAAATGTAGAATAAAATTATTTTTTGGATAAAGCCGAAAATATGTTTATTTAAATGTTTTTTTTTTTACTACCACTATGACTTGAACTTGAATTTACTCAAGCCATGAGAAAAGAGGAATTATTCCTTTCTGCTAAATACCATTCAATCATACTATATTTGGAACCAATATTATTCAAACATTTTTCTTAACAATGATAAATATAATTACTTAATATAGGCTTCAATATTCAACGATATCTTTTTACTCTAAACTATATATATATATATATATATATATATATTTGGTTTGCAGCTGCTTATATATATATATATATATATATATATATATATATATATATATATATATATATATATATATATATATATTATATATATATATATATATACAAAAAAGGTAAAAACAGTTTATTTAGCATGCCTATGTACATAATCATTACAGTTCAATATTAAAATAGAAGTCTTTTGTGTATTATAACAAATATAAGATATAATTATTGTGATATACTCATTATATAACTTTTTTATAATTATTAATTTAATCCTTCAAATTGAGTTTGGTGTTTTATAGGGCACATTACTAAATAAATGATAAAATGACGTCGGATTTCGAATAAAAAACCTTATACACGTTTACATATTACAGTTTTAAGAAACATGATAGTTAATACATAACATACAACATTAATAAACAAAATAATGTTTTATAACATTTTTTTTCTAATATTTTAATAATTAAAACATAAAAATCTCATTTATTAACTGGCAGCAGCTCAAGATTATACTTGAGTTATTAGATTTTCAACAGAGACACCAGAACGCTCACATGGACACCTTTACTCCTGAAGATCGGCTCATAAACCCCTCCCTAAAGACCACTCAAGACACTTATACTAAAAGAGAAAGAAGGTTACCTCGGCCATTACCCTTAACAGGATTTATGTCTTCTACATAAAGTCTTTCAACAACCTATCACATACGACTGACCTCATTTCCGAAACTAGTTGGTAAAAGGTACAAGTCGGACAAAACATATATATATATATATATATATATATATATATATATATATATATATATTAGTTAGTCGTTAGTCGTTATCTAAAGTTTTGCTGATTACGTACCAGGGAGCTGCTGCTATTAGTCATACAATTTTGGACAGATAAGACTGTAGCTTTTGTAAGTGAGTATTTTTTGTTGAAACTTATATCTGTGAGGCCTATGTTCAAACGTGTTTAAGTAGGTATGTGTATGTATTTAGTTTTGTCAGCTTTGCAGACGCTAGTTTAAAGTCTTTCGTTTCTTTTGTCACGTGAGCCCCATGCCATTCTTTTGTCGAATATTAGTCCGATATAGTGTAATGTGTCAGCCTGAGGAATTCGGTTGTCGACAAAAAAAAAAAAAACTGGTGGACATATGTCTCTACGAAGTATACATGTTATGTTTTGTTTCCAAATAATGTATAAGTTTTGTAAATTTAGTAAGTAATTTTATAAATTCAATGTGGCCTGTATAGGGATATAGTGTTTATTTAAAATGGATATGTCATAAACTTAAGTACAGTACATGTTTCAGAGTTTTAGGTACGTCATGCGGATATATAATGAACAATAAAGGAGCCAATATTGATCCCTGAGGTACCCCTACTAACACTGGTTGGATTGGCGATATTTCTAAGCCTTATCGGACGGAGAAAAATCTGTCGAAAAGGAAAGACTGAAGAATGAGATAGTATGTCAGAGGTAGTACAGTTTTGAGTTTAAATAGAAGTCTATGGTGCCTAACATTTATATGCCTAGGCAATATCCAGAAACACGCCGGTTGCGTATTGTTTTTGCTGTAGTGCTCCAGCAATTTGTCAGTAACTCCGTGTAAATGGTGAGTAGTTGAAAGAAAGAAAAAAAAGTGACCACTACGTTAAAGATTACAGTCGATCAGGCATAGTTTCGAAAAGTAACTGAGATAACATGCTTATAAGTATATGCGATTAGAACTACTAATAAAAACGAGAAAACCACTAATGCTCGACTTTTTTTCAATAGCTTATATCTATTCATTTTAATTAATAGTTACAATGTGAAATAGTAAATTATTAATTATCTTTAATAATTTAATTACAATTAAACAAAATTAGAGATAATGTTGAGGAAACCATTTTGAAAATTAGGAATTAATACCAGCTTGTTGTTAATTCAATAATTAAGGAATTAACAATTCAATCCGACCAGAAAGCAACATCTTTTAGTTGGTGTCAATAATAATATATAAGTTAAAAAGTGTAAAAATGGTAATATTAATCAATTACGATTAACCGATCCAATGCCGTCAAGACAATGTTGATGAAAATACTCTCAATATTGCTTCAACTTGAATAAGTAATTCTAGTTTTGTAAAACATTTCGTTTTTGAGCTATGATGATCACATAGATCATGCTGTAGACTTGGTTCTTTGGAATCAGAGATTCCCAAATCGAAATTTTACACGATTGTAAGATTTTTCCTTATTATATATTTTACATATAGTTAAGTGAAAGTAATAATAAGTTTGGGGATCAAACAATCAGTGAATATCTTTGGGTCCTTTGTAAGCTTTTCCCAGGATTAATTTTTAATTTTATTAAATAAATAATATATTCCTTTATTGTTCTATAATAAGTATCCTTATTATAAGTATAAGTATAATCGACGGGAGAAAGACAGAAAAAAAATATGTAGTAAATATGAATCAACTTGTAATATTTGGTACCCACAGTTAGGTCGAAGGTAAAATTACAATAACTGTCATACCTATATTTAAATATAATACTTTTTTTGGTGTTATTCATTCATTTTCTATCTATCATAATACCAACCAACAATTGGTTACTTCTAGTTCCATTATTGTTGCTCCTGTCCACTTATTCCTCAATATGGCCGTTTGTTGTGATTATTTTGCCTTTGTTATTTCTGAATTTTAATATTGGATATTAAGTCTGAGTAGTGTGTGCCTAAGTGTTTCGTGTCCGTTTTATAATTTACTGTTTTACTATTATTTTTTGTTATGTATATGGTTTCCAATAGTTTTCTATTGTTTGTTTTTGGTTCTATTGCTAATATTTTTGGGTTTGTGAAGTCAAATGAGTGTTGTGATTTTATACTATGGTTTGCCAGGGCAGTTAAATTAATGTTTTTACTACCTGAACACATATTCTATTGTATAGGTATATAGTTTCCTTCATATCTGCGTCGTTCCGGCCGTTACACCATCGTTAGGCATACGTTTTTCTCAAAAGATGAATTAGCTTATGATATAAGTTTCAAAATTAAAAAATATTTAATTACTCAAAAAAAAATTAAAAAGATTGTCTAAGTAGAAAGTTGTTTGTTTATTTATTCATTGCATTCACAATCCATTACAGTTAAATATTACAACGGAACTCTATCCTATACTTGTGTATATATATATATATATATATATATATATATATATATATATACTTATATTATAGTCTATTGTATATATACTTTTTTAATACATTATTATTATGTAATTACTTATTAGTTTCTATAGGACAATTATAAATTGAATAACTATAGATGTGCTTGAATATGGCATAAAAGCCTATATGTATATAAAGTATATGATAAAATATTTAATGGAAATTTGATTCAGGTTAAATATTGTTAATATTTAAACAAAAAAAATTATTTCACTTAAAACTTATAATGTAGACTAGAAGACGTTTTATGTATTAAATGATTTTTCCCCTCAAAAATAAATCATCATAAACCATTTGACTATGATTTGATATAAGTACCATTTACTGTTCGAGTGACTGCTACTTTATTTTATACGATTCTATTAACCTGCCCAATAGATAAAATCGAGTAAAGTGAAGGAAAGTATATTGAATGAATGATTGAGTGATGTCGAATAACTCTTAGAATGAGAAGCCAGGGAAGCCAACTTCTCGTCCGATCAAGAGATAAGTTCAACCGCTGAAAACTTGACTACAGATTGATGCCAAAGCGCGTTCTGCCGCCCTTCAACCCCCCAATATTAGGCTAAATGTTCTGAAAATCCGTCTCAGGTTCCACTCATCCGAAACGATCCCTAGAAGATCCGGTGGAAAATGATTTTCTTTTCGAATAAAATGAGATGGAAGAGTATATATATGAAATCGATCAACTTCATAAAAAGGGAATCTTCCGATCTCTCCAACTCGAATAGCACCTATGACCGCTTTATTTGAAATAATTAAAATGATCCATTAACCATCATTTTAACATAATTTTCTAAAACATTTATTGCATAACTAAATAAACATACATTTTCAAATATATGCTTGTAATTAATCCAAAATTTAATGAGCAATAATTTCATTTAAGAAAATCCCTTAATTGTCTCACTCTCGACCGTCTACAATGGGTGCAAATTTGTAAAAATCGAATTATTAACATCCGCTTGAAACTTCGTACATAGATTCATCTCATCGTAACCTACAACTATTTTATTTACGAAAACTCTTGGAATTGGAGCGTTTTCAATCTGGAAGGGGGCAAACTCTGTCTATTTAATTAGGTACTAAAAACAAGTAAATACCCATTTACTTTCTGCTTGAATCGTAAAATAATTTGATCACAAAATCGATAAAAAAGGTGGTTTACAAAAATATTGGGCCGTTTGTCCTATATGACCTCATTATTTTTATAATTTGGTAGTGTAGGTCACGTCAAAAGGCTCAATATTTTTGTAGACTACCTTTTTTCTCGATTTTGTTATCAAAACCATCTTACGATCCAAGTAGGAAGCAAATGTGTATTTACGAGTTTTTAGTACCTAATTAAACAGACAAAGTATGCCCTTTTCCAGAAACGGTCCAATTCTAAGAGTTTTTGTAAATAAAATAATTGCAATTATTTAATATAATAAATCTCATTGTAGGTTACGATGAGATGAAACTATTTACGAAGTTTTAGGCGGATGTTAATGATTCGATAAAAAGGGGTCTGTACCACGGACTATATGTAAAATTCAAAAAAGACTCTGAACTAAAACTCTGTATTTCGGTGACTGTGTAGTGTGTATTTATTTAATTTAATGAATACATAGGATTTCAATAAATTAATATTATCCTATCAGTATACTTGTACTAATTAATTTATACCTGCTTAATAACAAAAATAATCACTTTAAATTTATAAGAAATTTATTTATTAAAATTTTCATTATTCCAAATTTAATTAGTTTTTACGACTTGATATATCGGTATTTGTTACAGCTTTAAAAAACCGATGTCATTAAAGCCCCTATTTAAATTTTGTTTTTCTCTGAACTAAAAAAAACAAAACAATATGTTATTTGATTTCAGTAAATTCAATACTGGTTTTATTGTGTCTTCGTCATTTTTTATAAAGTTTAATACAAGGGATTTGGGAGTGGATAAATTTGAAATAGAGTTAATATAAATTGCTCATTTTTTATTTATAATTTTCTGTTAATATAATAAATAACATTATATATATATATATATATATATATATATATATATATATATATATATATATATATATATATATATATATATATACGATCACCAAAATAAAGTAAACATTATCATTTTAACGCCCTCATATGCTGGTATCAAGAAATGATATATAAAAAAAATAATAATTATAATAATCTATACCTAATAAAGAAATTATAATTCATGATTCCTAAAACCAAAAAATAGTAATCAATAAATATATAAGTCCATATTTATTGATTACTATTTTTGTTAGCTGTACTTTGTTTCGAAAATAGTCATTATGTATTAAGGGGCTGGGTGGCCGAACGGGCTGACAGAACGAAGTGAAAGACAGGTTTTCGTGGACATGGGCATAGAACTCGTAAATGATGTCGGATTAACTTGATAATTAGTAAACCTATGTTTTCAAGGCCAAGGAAAAGGAGTATGGACGTCAAAATTAGAAAATTTCCAAAAAACATTAAAAAAATCACGGCTTCTTTGTTTAAACTTAATTAACATCGATGCCTCATAAAGCGAATAATTTTAGATACCTATTTATAGTTACTCTCCGTTATTTTAATATTTTTTTATTTATTTTAAAAACATAATAAATCAGAAAATATAATTATAATATATGTATATGTAATAACTTAAAAAGTGCATTGTTTATTAATTGTCAATATAAATTTTATAATACTTATTATGAAATAATAAATATTTTATTCCATTAATAAAAAAAATTAAAACTATCGATAATGATGTTTTGAACACCATAAATACTTCCTCACATTTTTCGATGAAAAAAATATGTAATTTTTTCATTAATTTTAAAGAGTATATTAACAACAACTGATGCAGATAAAGTCATGATGATTCAACCAAATACTCTTAGATTCAATTTATCTTTAAGAAATTATAACGACATTTAAAAAAAATAAGGGTTAGAGATTGAAAACAATTATAATTTATTAATAACATATAGTAATCATTGTGAAACAAGTAAATAAAAGTTGTTTTTTCTCTAATTTAATTTTAAACTTTAGTTCATTTAACGGTGTTGTGTTTGTTTATTTATTTAGATCAGATAAAATAAAGCATGATTATATACAGTTAAAAGAATAATATAAAAGCTTAATTCTTATCTAGGTAGAAAAAATTAAAATTTTAAAACAACGAAAACGAAGATTTAATATTTAATGTAAATTTTTTCTTATAGTATTAGTTTGAGGTATTTTTTGAAACAAATAACTACAGAACCTTATTTTCTTTATGTTCCATACAATTCTTAAAACTAAATTTGAGAGCATGTCTAGTTATAGGAGATATTAGTACATACCTAGAAATTATTAGAAATTGTTTATACATACAAAAAATGTTTTAATAAATTTTAAATACTTTTGAGCGGACCATGGCGGTTTAAATTAATACGAATTTATCTTTAACAATGACTACTTAAAAGTTGTAATAAATAAATTTTTCCGGAAGATATCGGAAATTTGTTTAAATCTCAGTATTTGTAAAGATTTGGTTTAAAAACACCTATTTTGATTTACAGAAAAAAACAGATAATAAAGTAAATCAAGTTTTAGAAATCATCATGATTTTTTTTAAATGAGCATGATGACAGTAAGAAGTGTATAAAGTTTCAAGAAAAAATATCAACCAGCTTGTACCAAACAAATTTACAAAACCTACAAAGTACTCGAAATTCCACAAATTAACAAGATTGAACTATTTACTAAAAACCGTATAAAATGTTCATTCTGCAAACTAAAAATATTCTCACAAACTACCTAAGGCATCAAATAAACAGTTTATATAGTTTTTAGAGCTATATATAAAATATATATTTTTTTAGCCGCTATCGCAGGTATTCCGTTACTCGGCCCACTGTGTGATGGTTTGTTTAAAACACGCTTTTCCCGGCGACCATGATAAACCGAAGTTAACGAGTTCAAATCCTGGTGCGAGGAGACTTTAAATTCTGGTAGTAATTCCACGCCCTCTCTCCATGGCACGGAAAAAACTACGTATAGCCCCAATGAAGGAGAGGGGGGAAAGTCAATATGTAATAAGACTAGCTATTCCAATAACCTCAAAATAAAAAATATGGATAATAATAAAACTTAGTTCAATGCCTGATAAAAATAAAGTCCAATTTTAATGAGCTATGAGCATCAACGAAAATATATTCTTATATTTAAATTAATAAATAATAATTATTAGAAATATTGAAAGTATTTAATCTTGTTTGTTGAGAAATATTACATTTTTTATCGATCAAGGACAATTATAATTGAGACCAGAGAGTACATTCATACTATATTTAGTTATTAAATATATATATATACATATATTAGATAATGTATACATTAAAAAAAATAAATTAATAAGTTTAAAGTAATAGCAATAACTTCAAAAAGTAAGACTATACAATCAACCAGGAGAAAACTCGCCTACTTGTGGAGAGCTGAGAGGTTACAAGAGATCCCAGCGCTTTTCCCTCATCCGCGTCTCTGGTTTTATCTAAGAAACAGTGGAGGTTGAGTAATGAAAGTAATAAAAAAACAAACTATTTTGTTCCAATTCCGAGACAAAACCTGGAGTTTCTTAAATAATATTTTTATTTTTAAAATATATGAACTGCATTACTGCATGTAATGTAATTTAAATGTAAACCGCAGGATTGTGAATTGAAGATGTTTTTGATGAGAGAAGAATTTGATTTATAATATGTTTTTATTATTTATTCAAATTTGTTAGTTTATATTCATTCTAAAAGTCCTCGAGCCTACGTCATTTGTTTTATTCCGCTAAACGCTGAAGTGACTTGATGTTATTCCGGCAGTTTGGAGTGTGTTATTGTAAGGGGGTCGGGCGCGGATGATAATTGTTATTGGAACTGTAGAGACAATAAAGAAACGCGAGAACAAGGCCCCCGCTGTATGAAATATGTGTAATGGTGCTCTAGTGGAACTAATGCGTTGCAGCCAGTATTCCATCGGTTTTCAGATATCTGCACCTCCACAAAAGATCCTGTTTTTTCTACCTGCATTTTTTCCCTTAGTCGTGCGCCCTCGTTCGGAAATTCATTGAAACCGGTCGACCGTGACGGGGCCTATACAAAAAATAATAAAAATACGCTGCATCCCGCCGACAAAAAAAAAATGTTTTTTCAATCCATTGAGTTCCTCTACCCGAGAAGAAAATATTCTATAGTTGAAATTAGAATATTATATAAAAGCCCTTTACACAATAAAAATCAGAAAAAAAAAATAAACGACTTTGACCTTTTTATACATGAGCCTTTCAGTTGACAGATCGACACTCTAATTTCAATATTTTCGATTATTAATTTTAGAGATATTTCTATTGGGAAAAATGTATACCTTTATTCACGGTTCTATAGTTAAACACTGCAATTACCAACTATGGAATCAATTTAATCACTGTCTGTACAAATATTATAAATTTTCCAACTAGAAATATTATTAAAAAGACTTTACTAAAAAATTTTGAAATTGGAGTCAGTTAATCTGTCAACTTAAAGCCTCATAAACTGTTGTTGTTTTTTTAACTGTAGATTTTTACAGTACACCAATATAGCAATGAGGGACATAAGAACTGTTGACCAAGTCGATATTTGAAGATAAAAAAAAATAATAATAAAAAGTGCTAAATAAGAGATGTGCCCTATATTGGTTTTAAAATGTGCCGAAGTTTCAACATGGTTAACACAACAGCTAAATGGACATAATACGATTATAGTATTAAAACAGATAAATACTTCGATAGTAACTAATAAACAACGTAGAAATACTTATACGAAGCAAAAGTCAAAACTTTTAAGTGCGTGCCTAAGTTTTCTCTTTCTCTCAGAAAGGGGAAACGAAGAGATCATACAGAGCCTGAATTTCAGATCATATTGATTTAAAAACAAAAATATACTGTATGCCGTACGTTTGTTTGAAACAACAAGAAAAGGAAGTGAGGAACGAGTTTTTTCATTATGTCTAGGATTTGTGGCCTGAAAATAAAATGAGACGAGCAGTTCTTAAATATCGTCAGTTTATTGCAAACCGTGACGAGTACATTTTAGATGGCGCTAAGCTTCTAAGAAGGTTTTAATGAATTGTGACTTTATCAATCGACGCAAAAACATCTTAATCGCGGATTACTATGGGATCTGATTAAATTGATACTGGACGGTTTGTACATTAGTACCTAACGTTTATTCAACTATAAGAATAATAGGATGAGCCAGTTTTTTAAATGTAAGAGAATACGAAATTATAATACGATTATGTACATGCGTAAGCGAGAGTAGTGATTTTAACCTAAATACGAACTATATATATATATTTATTCCATGTACCGATCAACACGATTCCTGAAGATTTTATCAAAATCGGATAAACTGTTATAGATGTTATGCCCATGTTAGGCAATGCACATGAATAAACGGTAAATTGTGAGTGGAAAATTTCCGATTTTGAGGACAATTTTTTTCTGTTCAAATACTTGATAAAAAAAAAAAGCTTCACAACCTTCGAGAGATAGTAAACAAAATTCTATTATTAAAGATGAATCAAAGTGGAAATTCAATCTAACTAATAGCATCGTCCTAATTTAAATTAGGAAAGAGCCTTCTGAACTGAGCACGGCATACAGCTAACAGTTCAAAGAACCGTTTGTATAATTCGTGAATAAGGCATCAATAGTTGACAGATATTGACAGACATATCGGTTGATAAAACAAAGGCGGTGGGAAAGGCTGGTTGGGCTGTTTAAACATTTAGCGCTGAGAAGGCTGAGCAACAAGTTGCCCTGAAAGAAACATAATCCCAGGGCCAGCCCTTGTCCTTAGTCTTTGATCCTACCCAAACTCTGATTTACATTGTGTCCTGGGTCCCTTTTATGTGCATAAAGGCACAGAAGGGCATAATACGCTTTATACAGGGCCGCTGAGGTGTCATTAATCAATTTATAACATATACCTTCAGTCTTGTTTGATCTTTTCATTTAATAATACAAACAAACGTATAACTAAACCTATTCATAAATGAATAAGATATAACATCGACCACTAAGATCTTGTTCGACGAATTTATACCATAACATAAAGCGTACACAAAAACTGAGCGAAAAGGGAAATCATCAGTATTCCGATAAGAAATTTCTACGAGCTCGTGATTTCTGTGACTTCGCTATTAATGGCTACTTGGGTGAATTGATTTTCTTTTCGTCGGTAAATATCAGGTTATAACAATAAAAACGCAAGTCTCAAATTATCCTGAGGCATATATGTTTTTTCTTAACCCCAATGATTTATTGAAATTAAAAATAAAAAACTAAAACAAAGACTAGGACTAACTTAAATATTAAAAAAAAAATATTATTTAACGATTTGAGGACGTCAAATAGGGACAGCTATATATAACATGGATCACGAGAACTGCTATTTAAGTCATAATCAGTCGATCGATCAGACCAAAGAAAAATAAATTTTACATTTCCCTACAGAATCCTACAGTATTATTTCTTAGAATCTATTATTAATAAATAATTAATGAAATTTATATATAATTGATCTTTATATTTTAGCTAACCCTTTAAGTGATTTTTTTTTTAAAACTTAGATTCATTAATTTGGTTAATATTAAAATGTTATTAAGAGCCATACTCTCAAACTACATAATTGCTCTAAAAAGATAATTTTCAGAATGAGACATGGTTTGTTGAAAAATAATTATGTAATAGTATCGAACGTTCTTATCATTTTGAAATGAGGAGGTTAGGTTTGGCTAACTCCTATAAAGTCAATCCAGTTAGGAGACCAGAGAAGTAAGAGAAATATATTCGGCGGATTTTCAGAACAAATCAGTCCATCTGTATTATTGATAATCTCTGTAACATACCCATTGCTACCAGCTCTACTTGGAATTCATTAGTGTTTACAGAGGATTAGGTCAAGTTATCATATCACATTTTAGGGAATGACTGTAATTATTTTATCCAGATTTAATATGTTGTATAATAAGTATGTGTAAAGATTAAAGATTTAATGACTAGCAGGACATCAGTAATTTCTTAGACCTAGATTTAAGGTTATATTTTTGAAGTGAAAACTTCTGTAGGCGCGTTTTTCTTTTTTTTTTTTGGGTGTGAATCAGATTGAATAGTAAGGCTCGGATGTGTAACGCCCATTGCAAGTGATTTTACATATGAATTAAAATATCTCAGAAACTAAAAATCGGAGTTGCATACTGTATGTGAGGGAAATTTATCATCATTTCATCCTCTTTGTAATGAGGTATCATCCAAAAGAGTATCTTAACGCGACGAAGTGTTTGAGAGGAGAAAATGGAAAAAATATTTTGAACATTTGGACAAAAATATCTCAGTCCAGAAAAATTATTTTAGTCACGAACTTAAGCATTAATAGCCCTATGTTGATGCTTTATTTCGAATGAGGAGAATATTTGAAGAGAACTTCACAGTTAGTTATTCATTAAGATCACGTCTGACTGAAAATACTCGTTTAAATTACTGGCTCATTCATGTTCCCTTGTTTGATAAAATCAGCAATAAGAGTAACATTATCTTGGCAATTATTGTGATATAAGGTGATTATGTATTAAAGTGCCTTTTAACTCCGATTGAAACAATAAAATCCTTATGTATATTTATTTTTTTATTTATTGAATATTACATTCTGTCATTTGGGCATTAGTTATCACTACAACTAACAACTAATCTTACCTCACTAGGTACGATCACATTTATACTATATGCACAAAAAAATGTAAAATAAACAGATGTAAAATAAGAAATATATAATAATCAAAAAGTATATGCAATAAATAAAATAAAATTACCTAAAAATAAGGAAATTAAAAAAGCAAAAAAACATATACATACCTATGTATTAGGGTATAAGTGTATAAATTTAATTGAAAGTTAATATTAGAAAAAATTATAGAATTAGTTTTAGTATAGTGAAATATTATTAGAGACGGATTTTTATCCAGTAAAAAGCACAAAAACTCTAAAATTGGTAATTGCGATGTTTTAATATAATATCTTATGCACATGAAAATCATTGTTTTTGTTAAATTCATAAAATTAATTCAAGAAAATATCTGGCAAATGCCTTGAGATTTTCACTGAGTATATTTTGCGTTTTTTACGCAAAATATATTTTACGTTTTTCGCTTTTTTTACTGCAGGCCTCAAGAATTTATTAACTAAGTTTCCTCCTCTTAAAAAAACAAAAATAATAGAAAAATCAAAAATTACCTCATATATCCTTGCTGGTAGCCGAACTGGCCATAAGCGTACCCTTGCATACCCTGCAAGAACTGGCCTTGCATCTGAGTGGCGGCAGGGGGGTAAGACTGGGGATACCAATAGCCCAGCTGCTGGCCGTAGGCGTACGGGAACTGACCTCCCGTCAGTGGCTGGAACAGAGGATCGGAGGATATCAAAACTGAAGATGAGTCCTAATTATAAACAGAGCATGTAAGCATATAGTTAAAAAACATTTTTATAAAATCAATAAATCATTAAAACTAAATTCATATAAGTAAAATGGATAAATATAAGTTAGGATATTATTGGAAAATTCGTAAACTAAGCCTTGTTTCTCAAATACCAGAATCGGTACACCTCACATCAACAGCTAAAAATATCTAACCAGTGATATCATTTCAAGATAGTTTACAATATACTCTACATAAAAGGCATATGTTAAAATTTGTCGGAGTGATAAAAGGTATCTGGTTGGTTTATAATTTTTAATGTTTTTATGCAAGATGTAATATCGTTTGGTCAGTTTTAATTTATTCAATTTATTTTTTAAATAATTATGCCTGAATTGACGAGAACTTGACAGGTTATTTACTGATATCTTCGAGAATTGAAGCTTAGCTTATGGAATCTTACAATTTAATACTAATTCGTAGATGATGTTGCACTAATTGTAGATATACAATATACCTTTAAACAAGATGACAGATATCTTTGTTTAATTTGATATTGAGCAAATATACGGGTTAGGAGAATAAAAATATGTTTCTTTATAAATAGCTACTGGGACATAGCCGGCAAGGTACTTCCTGAAGCCTCTATATTTTTTAAAAAGAGACTCCACCCTCCACGTATTTTGCAGTCGCTTATTTAAAATAACTTATAAAAGTCTAATAAACCGCATGAGAAATAATTAAATTACAGGTTGACTGATTATTGAGCTTCTCCATTATGTATGACTTTTCATCCCACTTCCCTCTTATGCACTGAACACTATTATCTTTTTATATTAATTAACCTTCCATGCCGGCCTTAAGGTAGGGTGACTTAGGGAAAGGTCCGGAGGCACAAAAAAAAAAAAAAAAAAAAATACAAGGCGTATGAGAGTAATTAATTGAATTAGATTAATATAGAATGGAGTACTAAAACAGATAGAGCCTCACGCAGGCTTATTACCGCGTATGCGGAGCGTCCCACAGGTGGCGGATGTGGGGATGGTCGGTGGAAATTCCTTGGAAGTCCCTCCCGGCTAAGTCCGATGGACTCGCTGACCAACAATGAGAGGGGATCTCCAGACTTGCTTGTCTGACGTAGGAATGAACGCCCTACTCACGTATCTTTTGTTCACCATACACCACAAATAACGATTGGTGGTGTCAGCATCGAACCTCCGGATCCGCTAAGCCTTTTATTATTATTATTATTAAAAACAGATAGAGGAATAATAAATTTCTTCATTAAAAAAATTTTAGATATGCCTTTTGGCAAATATTGTAAAGGTGATCATCATTCGTAAACTTCTTCTGCAGGATTAACGTGAATGCTTGATTGGAGAAAACTCCGGACGAAGTTACTCCTAAAGTGACTATTCTTAATGTAGCAGATCACTCCTCCAGAGGCGTTTAAGTCTCCTTGTTGGATTCTGTGGTAATGTATCTGTTAGGAATGTCTGTACAAGGAGATTAGGACGTCCAATAATCTTTATGGAATAATTTATTGGTTACGTAGAAGGGACAATGAGTGATATGTCGAAGATATTTGGACTGGAATATTTGGATAATATGCAAGTGTGTTTTTTTGTATAAACCCCATACCTGAGTGGCATATACTCATATTGGTCTGAATAGAATGTTGGATATAATAATTTTGGTACAAAGTGATAGTTTGTTTTTATGGTGTAGCATTCGTCTTAATAGCGAGAGTCGATGGTTCAATCTCTTTTTCAGTGCAGTCATGTGCGATTACCAGGTCAGTCGTCTGTCCATCGTGTGTCCCAAATATTTTGTCTCTGTACGATTTGACAAAGGGATGTTATAAAGTGTCAGAGGGGATGGCTTCATTGCCTGTAGGCGCCGAATTTCTAAGACAGCCAGAGCTAATGTTTACTCCTCTCCTCCTCCCAAATAATTCTCAAGTCCCAGAGCCTATGTACAGGAAGATTGGATAGATGTGGAAAACTGTAACGTCTATAAATGAAGACATATTTTTTATTCTCCTAATTTTGGTTTTAATTGGTACTGATGACTTTTAATTTAAATAAACTATTAAGTTATCATCTGATGAATTAATAATACTACACTCTAAGGCGAAGCGGACTATCAGATGGAATGATTTCCATTTGGCCGGAGAACAATAAGCAGAAGAGGAGAACAGGAAACAGGCTAACTCCCACTCTACCTCCTCCCCTCCCCTCGCCCACCGTACTTCACATTGCAAATATTTGCCCCAGGCGAAGTGCAAGTTGAAATAAATCAAGTCAACACTGGCCTCTTCCTGCTCCGGCTAATAAAGGGTTCTCGAAATATTTCTCTACTATCGACCCGTAGTTGGCTAGCGAGGCCCTGGTTCGAATCCTCTAGAATAATTTAAACGATTCACTAGACTATTTATGTTATTAATAATTATTTGAGGATCCCTAAAATTCAAGCTAATATTATTACCATATTAAATCAATGTGAAAAATTTGATTTCAGGTATATTTTTGATAAATGCATTTATAAATAGAGAAAATAATGGAACATAATTTGTACATCGTGTAGAAATATTTTTTAAATAATTCTAACTATATGAATAGATTACTGAAACTGCAGTACTGATATATGAATCCGATTCTGCGCTTAAATATTTTTAAGAGACAATATGATAAAACATTGTGTTCCATCAGTTCGATTATCACCACAATAATGCAATGTGTATGCTGGTATTTAGGGGAATTAGTCCGGCAAGTTGGCTTTGTTACTAATCAGAATGGCAAAAAGGAATGGTTAAATAAATATTAACCGATCCATGTAGGAATCGTAACCAAAATGTTCACACTTTGGGTACTCTGGGACCCATGGTGACTGGTTTCAGACATTACCAGCTAATGTGATTTAATAAAATCAAATTTTAATGTCTAAATCCTTTTTCAAAGACAAACATAGACCAGCCACTTTAAATATTAAACCATATCAATTCTAACTATTATTACGTCAAGATGAGTGCATTTCTTTAATTAAAGTTTTTATACATTATAAAAATATAACACAGTGACATAACAGTTTATGTTTATTCATAAAAATAAATATAATTCCTAATATCTTAAGTAGTATTGTAATAAATAAAAGTATATTTCTACATGCGTAATACTCATCTACAGCCATTAAACAAATAATGGAATGATTTTTTTTTTTTTTTTTTAAGTTCTGTCTACAACAAAAAAGAAAACATATTTAAAGTTTGCAAAAGGCTCATAACAGTTTTATCGCCGATTGAGTTAACTTCAATGCCACTCCATTGAATTTAAAATATTCCTTTGAGTGAAACAACAACTAAACTCTTGCCATTCTAGAGCATAAAAACATCAGAGTACTAAGCTACTTCAAACAATTATATTTTCTGTCCGAATGAGCATTATAAAACATATTTCTGCTGAAGAAAATATGCTTTGCTTAAAAAAAAATGTATTCAAAAGATCATTACTTTATAGAATAATATTTTTCTAAGAAAACCAATTCTATATTAACTAATAAAAAGCACACTTTTAGTCAGATGAAGAATATACCTCATCATATTACATTGAAAGAATTATAATTATAAATTTATTAATAAGGGGGATTATAATTATTTTATATAATTGTAATATAATACATAATAATATTGTAATTGATATTTATTTATTTAAAATTTATAATTATGTTACCTGTCCCGTTTGTTGACTGTTATTTGGGTCTCCAGATTCCTTGCCCCAACTGCATTTGACGGGATGACTGTTTATATCGGTGTTGTGGACTGCAACAATAGCGTGCGTTGCTGACTCTTTCGTCGAAAACCTGATACATACAATTTTTATTTAAACAAAAAATAAAGAATTTTACCATCGCCAAATTTAAATAAATATATTGAATAAAAGAGACAACTTATACCACATATTTCTTATTGAAGGCTTGCCATACTGCTAGAAATACTCAAGTGATACACAGCCCAATTTTCAATTTATTTTTAACTGCAGTAGATATAAGCTCCTTGTAAGATAAATATACAAGGGCGACCTTCGTGATGAAAAATGTTGCAGGAAAGGGTTACACTGCAGAGGAGGCATCGATTGGCCTTTTTAAAACCCTAAGGAAACCGAGGAGGGCTGAGCCCTAGAGGAGCAGCCCCGTCACACACAAACAGTGAAAAACCTGTTGTTGAGGTCTAGCACCTGTTGTTAATGAGACGGCAGCTTTATTAATGGACTCGCCCGGACAACTTTTTTACGCCACTTGTTGATCCGTAGCCTACCGCTTCTGACATATCTGTAGGAGGGGCAGTTGCTTGGGTTCGATTGTGATCAACGAATAGAAAATTAGACTTGACTATAACCAAACACAAAAATAAACCGATATTAACAATGTAATTTAAAAGTGAAGAGTCAATGTAATCAGATTAAAAATGGGGTATAATAATGCGCAGATTCAACCTTAAATGAGTAAAATTAATATTGTTACAGATATATAGAAAAATAAACTTTATAATGAGACGAAGTGCGCTAAGAATAAAAAGATTTAAGTCATGTAATATTATTAGTGAATTCTAGAATTCATTTATGTTTTTAAGAAATTGTTATTTTTAAATACCATAAATTAATAACTCTCTCTATATTATGTTTTAATAATTGTACGTTTCAACATTGCCCATTTAGTTAGACCTTAATATCTTTATAGTGGTTGTTATAACGGTATTTCTTTTTACTATCTTTACTTATTTATTCTTTTAGTTATTTGTTCAATTCTGTTTTAAATATTTATATTCACATATGCCGATTGAATTTATCTAACAAATATAACTGGTTTTGCAGGCCACTTATTGTGATATAAAATAATCAAACAAACCAATATCACAGTCAATCATTCACCAAATTTAATTAATTATATTACTTTATAAACCAAAGATTCACTATAAAAAATTCATTAAAAAATAATATAGATTTTTTTCCTCAAATCGACATTGTTCATATGAATCATTATATAATAGGATCAATTTGACCACGAGGTATAGATTCTATCATTAAGGTCACTCAAAATATATGGTCAGACAATATTTAATGTATGAATTAAAAAAAAAAAAAAAAAAAATAAATCGCTAAAGAACAGAAAAAAGCGTCGTGAAACTATGAATGTAGAGTTAATAGTAAACAAAATGGAAGCTAATTGGGCCAACAGTTGGTGAATACTATGTATCGAACCGATGCCAGGGTTAAAATCATCGATACACCTGTAGCTGAACCATTCATCAGTTGTGTGCCATCGGATCACATCCAAGCCTTTTATCTTTCCGTAATTGACTGTTACTGCCTTTCCGATGATAATATCCAATATCCTTAATAGCCTCTGAATTCTAGGCTCAACTGAGAGTAGGTAGTTAAACGTTACTAATACTTGGAAAGGTTCGACTGTTAGTAGTTTAATAACCAATAGTTTGATCGTCCATCTCTGCTGTTTAGGAGTTAAAAGCAATCAATTGAAATACTAAGATATAACTCATAAAAAAAAAAAAAGAAGATAAAAACATTAATAGATAACTTAAGGAAGAATCTATTAGTGCGCACAATACAATTTGAGAAGAAACCTATAATCTCCTAAATAAAACCGTTAAGGACAATTATTCTGAACTCATTACTAATAGTATTTTTCTTTTAACTTTATTTATTCACCGACACCTGTCAGAAATACTGACAATACTAGTTGTTAGGAAGTAGAATATGGAGTAACACGTTGGTTGGCTTGAGGGAGAGGAGTGCCCAGTGGCATCCCTTCCTATCTTGGTCAAAATATTTATAGTTAAGAGATGAGAGCCTTCATTCAGCTTCTTTTGAGCCTCTTAAGATGTTATCGGACATGCTGTTTGTGAAATCGTTTATGTTGTGTTAGTATGTTGTGGTTATGTGTTGACATCTGTATGTCTTTATGTAATGTTGCTGACGTACCAGGAAGCTTTCATTGTAGTCCGAATACAAAAGTTTGTTGTTTATGTTTTTTTTTGTTTATATATACAAGCGTAGGTGATCCAATCAACGTAAACCTGCTCAAACGAAATTCCCAAATTAATCAATAAAATCTCAGATTCAGTTTTATTCAACATCATTATAAAATATATAACTACTAAGGCATAAGAAATTGCAACCTTCTGAAAATTTGAAATCAGTGAGTTTTTGAAGTGAAAACTTCTTTCTTTGTGGAGAGTGGATTAGATTGACCGGTCAGATCTCCGATGTGTAACGCTCGAGTTAAGTCGCCTGGAGTCGATTAATTATAGTGCTTTTGTATATGGAATAAAATATCTCAGAAAACTAAAAATCGGATCTGGATACTGTAAACGAGGGAAATGCACATCCTTTCATCTTCACTGTAATGGATTATTATTCAAAATTGTATCTTAACACAACGCCGTGTTATAGAGGCGAAAAAGAAAAATAGTGTCGAAAGCCAAATGATAATGAGTTTTACGGAAGATATGGATTAAAATATCCCAGAAACTAAAAATCGGACCTGCATACTGTAAGCGAGGGAAATGTTCAGAGCATTTCATCCTCTTTATAAAGAACTATTATTTATAATTTATATTTCATATTATTAATCTCGCATTGTCGGTGTTTGCACTTCCATCATGAGCTCAGAAGGACACACCTTAGTTTTTTTTATATCTATAGATATAAAAAAATTATAGCTTATTCGGTTCGTTCGTTAACCAACGCAATTACGTGAAAAATGAAAATGTTACACACTTGATCATTTCTATTAAGCGTTACAATCCTTCTTTAAGGTTGCAATGCATGAACGCATTGAGAGAGCACACACTAACACATGGGCTAAAGAGACTATTATTACCGTGAGATGATATTACTGTGGCGGAGGCCAGGACACTACTGGCGGAACAGAGCCTCCTAGTAATTTCTAGCTGCCATAACCATGCTGGGGCCTAGAGGACAATTTCGATCGCATTAGCAGGCCATTGCTATTCCATGGCCATCCAGGCAACAGTTGGACCCTCCAGTCGATAAATTACTTATAAGGGCACTCCAGTTCCAGTCTCGGTTCTTTTAAGATATAGCGTCGTAACTGGAACCCTTGTCTGCCGTATTAGCAAATATAAGGAATTATAGTTACCAATAGAGTGAGATGATTTTGAGATATTAATTTAATAATTTTATGTTAATTTATTTTCGTATGAATTACACAATAAGTCAATTTACAAACTGGAAGTACTTTTAAACCACCGAAATATTTCTATATCTTATGCCATAAAAAATTTAACGACAGAATTATCGCTCGTTTAGTTAATTATTTTGGAGCGGGATATCTCAATGAGTGACTTTCTATGTTCAAGGTCCTGGGATCAAGAGACCGCCCTTGGGCACACCCATCCGGTATCAAGTGAATACTCCTAATTAAATAATTAATTAAGAGGAAAACCTAAAAGTTAAGTGTGATCTTCGCCCAATCACCTCTGTGCACAACCGTTACCCTTAAAACACCACACCGTCACTAAGAATTGAACCCAAAACCCTTCATGGTTCGTTAGGTTAAGTTTTTTGTTTTTTAATTAGGAATGATAATAAATAAGATATCACGATGTAATATAGTAAATGGTTTAAATATTGACCTAAGAATATTTTTAAATTATATAGATGACATTTTATTTATAATAGAAAAAGAAAATTCACAGGAGAAATGAAAACAAGAGTTCCATCAGATATTTTAATATAAAAATCGTTGGGACCAAATTTATAGGACAGCTCAGAAGGATAATTTTCATTTCTTTGTGTTAAAAGAAGTAATGTATTCAAAACTATAAGAATATTCATTTAGAGAAAATATTTAAGAAATCGATTTTTTAATTTTCGCAGGTTTCAGTAATGAAACTGGCCAAATCCTTTATATTACATCCAACCAAACATAACTCTTATGCCTGTATTGCTAGTTGCCCAATAATGTATCTTTTATTTCAGCCCCATACTTATTGATTGTGCATAATCATAGAACAATCAAGTTAACTAAATGTTAAAATTGAGAATGAGTTTCTCCTTGTAAGTCTATAAATTGAATATTGAATAATTCATCCTATTCAATAAATACGAAATGTATTGCAATTACATGTGATTTTCTTAATTACAATCAAGACTATATGGATTTACAAATATTTCTAATACAACCCAACTTAACAATAGAGGAACAAATTTAATTTTGTAAGTGGGCTATTCGTATACAACGTGGAAGATTTCGAGCCCGACTACAGGAAATGAACTGGAAATCAAGATGACTTCAATTTCGTAAAAACCTCGACAATGATTGACGGAGTACTTAGCAGGGAAAGATTTTCGGGAAATACAGCACAAACTCTTAGGATGATGGAGAACACTCTTAATTGAACACTCGTCCCAGAAGAAATATCAGTCGAATACAGTTTCTTCATTCCAATAAAAAAGGGGCAGGATAACATGACATAACTATATTAATACCAATATTAATTACTGTCATGTAATTATTTGTTATGTAATTTCTCAAGAAAACCATTTTTTATATTTTATTTTTAATAAAAAAAATGCATAATTCATGTTTTGTTATAAATATATTGTATATTTTATGAATATTACCGTGAAAAATTCCTAAAAGAATGTAAAGGATAAAAAGATTGAAATAAACTTATGTTTGAACACTTGTAGTCCATGTGGCACATTTTATTATTACTCAATAGTCTTGTTATAAAAAAAAGTATTAGGAAACTATGTTAATATATAAATTATGTGTAAAAACAATAGTTTTTTTATTTTTAAAATATATATTAAATAAACAGTACCAAGAAATATATTTTTTTTTTACCTAAGTATCATATGCGC